CTCAAGGGTGTGACGAAGTTTGTTTTGAAAATTTGTTTTGCAACGTGTTTGTGTGAAAAGTTTTATTGAACAAGTACTTAAGATTCTACCTACTTGAAAAAAAGATTGTTTGTTCTTGTTTTCTTTAGACATCGCTATCCTACTATTAAGGAGTAGGTAGCCCCGTTGTTGGTGTTTGTAAGGGACATTCGAAAGGGACAAGTACAGTCACCAGAGCAATGGGTAGGAAACTTTAGTAGTGACCCTAGAGTATTAAGATCTTTCTGAGGAAACCTTTCCGAGGCAACATTTCCAAGGCAACAATCAAATGGGACATTTGATCCTTTAGACAGGAGGGCAACCACTAAAATCTCTTATGCTTAATGACTGTTTTACCGAAGGCAACCGAAGTGAGGCAAACCCTAGGAGTGAATATGTGCATGTGACTTTTTTCAGTTAATTTAGTCTTTGCACATTAGATGATCTACCGTTTTAATTTTTCAAACATCTTTCCGTACAATCCTATTAGCCATACATCTAGACAGTTAAATATTGCGGAAATTTAAAGTGCGAGAAAATAAACCTAGCTATTACAAGGCTTCGAGGAGGGGGATTAATTACATAACCAAAAACCGGGGAAAAACGATAAATGAAAATCCTAATTTAAAGCTATTACAAACCAGGGCAGTTACAAAATTATAAAGATAAAAGTAATTAAAGCGCACAACGAATTAAATGCGAGGACGATAATTAATAACTCAAAACCCTAATTGAGAGAAAAAGTATTTTTGTACATTTTTTATTTGAGAAAAGAATTTAATTGCACATTAATTAAACCCTAATTTCTAATTGTTTTTAATTATTTAAAAAAAGTAAAGAAATTAAATTAACCTAATTTTTTAATTAAATTAAATTAATTAAAGAAATAAATATTTTATGAGAAAAATGATTTTTGTGTTTTTGTGATTTGTTGATTTTATGATTAATAAAAAAAGTAATTAATTTTTTGTGGAATAAAATAATTAAATGAATAAACTAAATATAAGAAATAAATAAAAGAAAAAAGAATTGGGCCTGATGTATAGTAAATATGGGGGGTGCAACCCTGAATTTGACCTTGGGCCCAAGGTTGGTGGCCCAAGTCAACGCTGGATCCAGTGGTGCTGGCGCTTGATGGTTCACCATGGTCTCTCGATGGTAGGCGTTAGATATGATTGATGATGAATCCACTGGATGGATGATGGAGGCGCATGGAAGGTTCCTGGGCATGTGATACATCAAATCTATAGAAAGAAAAGAAAATAAAGAAACGTTGGGACCTTGAATCGAACCCAGGCCCTTACGCTTACCACCACTAATGCGTTGCCAGTTGCGCTACTGTTTTCATTTGTTAGTATAATAAGAAGAATATATAATATATAAATCAAGACAATTTGGATAAAAAACACGTGAAGTTCAAATGGGAAAATAAATGATTGCCACGCCACCGTCTTCTTCATTCTCCGTCGCCTTAGGTTCCTTCACCTTTACCTACAGACAAAATTATGTAGCTACAAACCTGTAAAACTCAAGAGTCCAGCACATGCATGATAAATTAGTTGTGACTGTACTAATCAACTCGTCTTGGCTTTACGAGCATCATGGTACCTTATTCGTGGCCTAATTTTTCTTGTGTCAAGAAGCCCCAAAACGTGGCTTCAAACCCTAGCTATGTCATTCATTAGTATGGGCATCAAAATGTTAATTAAATCAAACCAACATAATGCAAACATGATAACAAACACGTATATACCATTAAAACATGCTCATAATGTATAAATCATGATAGTCGAATTTGAAAAATATTGAAAACCGTAATGTTCATACAAGCTTTTTTGGAGCGTGACAGGACTTGTAATTGATTGGAATAGCTTCCTGAGACGTCCAGCAATCGATTGGCAATGCTAGGATGGCTTGAGATGGCCTGTATGAATGAAACCGATTCACACTTTTCTTTGAAAATTTTGAGTTTTTTTCTTCCTCTTTCACGACTGCTAGCCCTTGTCTTTTTCCTTGTACTTGTTCATTATATATGCTAGGACGAATTAGGGTTCTAAAAACAGATGATATCTTTGAAAGTATTGAAGATTTGATTTGATTTTCATGCCATACAATATCTTTCTAAATTGACCAAAATTATCCAATTTTTGTACCAATCATGCTTGATTCGATTTGACCTTGATATTTCAGCATATTTTGATTGCAATTCTGTCAAAAAATTATATCAAAACAGATCTTTGATATTATTTACAAATTATTTGATTTAATTCAATTTTTAATGAATAAAAAATCAAAATAAATTAGAAAATGAAGCAAATAACATGTGGATAAGTAATTGGGTCGTGCACCATGTTATAAGTGAGGTGCAATCATGAAATGCTAGGCCCATTTGGTAAAAAAATGCACTTTTGAGCATATTTGACTTTTGGCAGTTTTGCAAAAAAGGTCAACTTTGACATGGCATATCTCCTCCAATTTTAACCCTAGAGAGGTGTTCTTGGACCTTTTAGAAAGCTTAGAATGTCCCCTAAGCAACCCTTTTGGTCTCACTTCAATTGGGTCTTCCATGTTCATGTAATAAGCTTTGACCCAAAAGGTGTTTTTGTTGACTTTTCAAAATGACCTATAATGTAGAAATTCATATCTTTTGATGAGTGCATATTTTGAACTTGTAGGATGAATATGCGTTGTAGGGAATTGCATCATCTTCAAAATGAGCCTTGGATGGAAAATTTATGAAAAAGTATATGGAAGTTATGTTTGGTCAAAGTTTGGTTGACTTTTCCTAAGAAACCCTAATTTAGCAACTTTTGGGTTTTGATGAATTTAGGGCATTCCTTAAAGAATCATGATCAACCCTTGATCAAATTATGGATATCACTTCAAAATGTTGATGTTGACCAAAAATCTTGAAGTTTGACTGTATGTGGGCCACAATTGACTTTTGACCTAATACAATCGATTCTCAAGCATCTGAGCAGTTGATTGAGCAAAGTTCTTGTGCAGTGCTTGAAATTTGACATGGAGGGTCTTGAGAACATATTAGGACCATGTAAAGAATTTGGGTCCTTTATGGTTCACACATCTTTATGAAAATGGAAACCCTAATTTGAGACACAATGCCTTATGAGAGAGTTTGTCTGATCAATTCTTGGGCAAACTTGAGCAAATTAAGGATCTCTAGGAGTATGTATTGAGTAAAATGAGAGGGAAAATTTTGGGGTAAAATAGTTCTTGATAAAGCACACTGCCACGTGCTTAGTATCATTAGCATATGAAGCTTCTTCCACCCATTTGGTGAAGTAATCAATTGCTACCAAAATGAAACGATGTCCATTTGACGCCTTAGGTTCAATCATTCCAATAATGTCAATACCCCACATAGAGAAAGGCCACGGGGAAGAAATAAAATTGAGAAGTTTCAGAGACACATGAATTTTGTCTGAGTAAATCTGACACTTATGGCACTTCTTTGCAAATTTGTAACAGTCAGATTCCATTGTCAGCCAATAGTAACTTGTCCTAAGCATCTTCTTTTCCATCGAATGTCCATTGGCATATGTACCAAAGGAACCTTCATGGATCTCATGTATCATCATGTCTACTTTGTGTCTATCCACGCATCTGAGAAAGACCGTGTCATAATTTCTTTCGGACAACATATCTTTATTGAGAAAAAAGCTACCTTCCAACCTTCTCAATGTCTTTCTATCTTTATTTGACGCACCAGCCGGGTATTCCTGAGTCTGAAGAAAATGTTTGATATCATAATACCAAGGTTTCTCATCTAACATTTCCTCTGTTGCAAACACAAGAGCTGGTCTATCTAGATGTCGCATTGTGATACGAGGCACATCATTCTAGGTATTCACTTGATACATAGAAGCCAAAGTCGCAAAAGCATCCGCCATCTGATTTTCATCTCTGGGAATATGATGGAATTCAACTTTATTAAATAAGGGTAATAATATTCTAGCATATTCTTTTTAAGGGATCAAGCCAGGGTTACGAGTATCCCATTCTCCTTTAATCTGATTTATTACCAAATTTGAATCGCCATATACATCCAGAACTTTATTTCTGAGATCAATAGCCTCCTCGAGAGCCATGATACAAGCTTCATACTCGGCCATATTATTGGTATAATCAAATGTCAGTCTTACAGTAAAAGTAATATGTGATCCATGAGGAGTGATAACCACAACACAAATTCCTTTCCCATAAGCATTCACAACTCCATTAAACACCATGCCCCACTGGGATTCAGGATCAGGACCTTCTTCAAGAAATGGTTCATCACAGTCTTACACTTTTAGAAACATAACATCCTCATCAGGGAAATCATATTTAACAGACTGATAATCATCAACTGGTTGGTGAGCAAGATAATCCGCCAACACACTGCTTTTTATAGCCTTCTGAGTATGGTATTCAATATCATATTCAGACAACATCATTTTTCAACGGGAAAATTCTCCCAATAAGAGTAGGCTTTTAAAAAATATACTTAATTGGATCCATTTTGGAAATCAACCAAGTAGCATGATTCAACATATATTTCCGCACCCGCTTTTCCGCCCAGGCCAGAGCACAACACGTCTTTTCTAGCATAGAATACCGCGACTCACAGTCAACAAACTTATTTCTGAGATAATAGATGGCATATTCCTTGTACTTGTTAGTTAAAAGTTAATCAATTAGGGCAAAAACTCATTGTATTTGTTAGTTAAAAGTTAATCAATACAAAACATATATGATCATAATATACAAATCAAAGTACTTGGTGATTCCCCATGAGAAAAGTTAAAGATAAGGAGAAGAACCGAACCCTAGTGTGATCTTGTTGTGAATCAGTTGATAGAGGAATCTTAGGGGAAAAAATTGGGGTACAACAATATCATCATCACAAAGTTTTACAAAAGTGAGGCCATTACACATTACACTTCATTACAAATACATAAAATATCTACAATGTCCTAAACCTAAAGTCTAACTTCAAGCTTCCATCTTGTTATTATTCCATCAAGTTTCTTCACTTTCTTACCTTTTGAGACGTCCATGCCATGTACACCATGCCAAAACCATAACCTACAATATTCATAAAGCAGTTCATTAATACCATGGAAGCATATTCCAAATAGTTTCAAAACAAAATCAAAACAATGAAAATTCAAAATGGTATGGAAATAACTTGCATCATGGTATGGAAATGTATACTCACTAGTCAGATGATATCATCCATCGAGCACCAATTTTCTTGAAAAAAAGGAACAAACATGAAAAGACCTACTGCTATGACACAAAAGAACTAAACCCACACTCCCTAAAACCAGAAGGAAAGACTTGTTAACTTTGCAACATCCCTCTATGACATATCAACTATAATACCCCCTGCATATTGAGAAAATCAGAAGCAGTTAACGCCCATACTCATCATCAAAGCAGACCCTGCATAAGATTTACAATGGAAATATCAAAAGAAAATATAAAGAGAAGAAAAGTTAAAACTGTGAAAATAGAAAATCAGGAATTAATTGTTGACACTAACTAACTCTCAAAACCTCTCATCCTCACCGTTCAATCCTGTAACCGAAATTCAAATCCAATGGCTCAGGATCACTCAGCTCTAACAAACTCAACTGTCTATAACAAAATTTCTCCCTAAGATTGAATCTCACGTACTCTTTTCTTTTCCATTCCACTCTATCTTCACTCTATCTATATCTCTCACTCTCTCAACTTCAATCTTCAACATTCTTCACCATTTCTGCAATATCTCAGAACTGCAAGCTTCTCCACCTTCATCATCAATAACACTCCTTATTTTATCCTCAGCGAACTTAAAGCTCCATCAACCGCTTCATCTGCGATTATCATCTTCTTCATAGATCTCCATCATCTTCCTTTCACCTTGTTCTTTACACTGCAGCATCACGATTTTCACTTCATATCACAATGCTTCAGCATCAATACCCCTGTTTCAAATGCCACATCATGCTGTATCGCTCAACCTCACATCAACATCTCAGTATAACAACTGCAGCATACGCGAAAGAAGAACGTACTAAGAAGATGAAGAATATAGAAGAAGAAGAACACGAGTATCAGATGAATACATGCCTAGAAAGTACTCCTGGTTTTCTTTTATCATTGTTGCATTTGAAGAGAAGTCGGAGCATCTCTGGCAGGTAAAACCTAGAAACTCTGATTCTTCTTCATTTTAAACCTTTTCGCATATCACTGTGTGGCTTATTGCTTTCCGAACATTGTCCCCGAGGTGTGGTAGCAAGACTCTTCAACGAATTCGTTCAATTCCGGTTTTGTCTTTATTTACGGTTTGCAGTTTGTGATTTAGGTGAGGAAGGCGACTGTGCATATTTCCTGATGGCTAGATTAAGAATCACGATGATGGAGTAGTTTGATCTGGAATGAAAGAGAAGGCCTTGAACCATTGAGAGAACACATTGTTGCTGCAAGTGTGGGAGGAAGGAGATTGTGTTATCGAAGAAGGCTGAAAGTCGTAACGGAAAAACCTAAAACACGCTCAAACGCACTGTTTTCTTTTCTTTTAATAATAATAATATGAAAATATGGAAATTGAAAAAGAAATTTGAATAATGTTGAGGTTGGTAATGGACGGTGCCACATTACTTTACCTTGTGTCCTCAAATTCTTTGTTTGGCCTGGAGTAAATTGTTAGAAAAAACATTTCTGGACTAGGCTTGAAACAACTTCTGGATCATTTTTATTTAGGCTTTAAATTTTCTGAAGCATAGCCCCTGATTGCAACTCAACACCCTCTGAGCTTACTATTTCTTTGTTATATTTAGGACTTTTTCTTTGTTAATTTTTCCTATGACAAAATTGTAAAATCAATAAAACTTGTTAGATCTTCTTAGTTAATTTTATGAATTAAATTTTTAGTTGTTGATAGAATTTTCCTCACATGAAAAAATAATAAGAAATACTTTTTCTTTTTGTTTATTGGTTCATATTTTACACCGTTATTTTTGTGAGCATTTCCATGTTTTGAAGCTTGTTTGAATTTGATTTCTTGACAACTAATTGTTAGTTTTGATTTATGATTTAATACCTAAGTTGAGTTTGCATTTCCTTGATTATTTGCTAACTCGTTTTTTGGATTTGTGCGAGCTTCTAATGGGGATTTCTCATACCATGAGACTTGTGCAGGGCTATTCCACGACAACTGAAAACTCAGATTCATGTGATTTATTCTCATATGGATGCTTCGATGCTTATCTTTTTATACCGGATTTCTGACATTACTTTCTTTGTTGGTGGAGTAGCTCGCAAAATTCTCTTGGTTTCTTATTGCTTTATTGCGCTTTGCTTTGGATTGATATTTTTTTGGTACTTTCTAATCCTGGTTTAATTTACGCATTGTATTTTCCGCTTTCTGACGCCATGAGAAGTAGGAATAGAGATGCATGCTTTATCGCTTTTCTAGATATCATGAGAAGTAGGAAATAAAGAGAGTGCAATCAAAGTCGGTGTTTAAAAGTCCTGTAGTAGGCATTCTGCCCTTGTTTGTTAATTGTGTTTGTGTTTGCTTTCATCCTTTGATGGCTGATGATGTCACTCAATTGGAATTGAGATAATGACTTCGATCTTTGCATGCTTCCCTTAGGATTTTATCATTTTCCTTCATTGACGATCGATGATGTCACTCAATTAGAATGGAGATAATGGCTTCGATCTTTGTATGCTCCCTTAGGGATTTATCGTTTTCCTTTGTTAATGATCGATGATGTCACTCAATTAGATAACTACTTTGATCTTTGCATGTTCCCTATATGATAATTATCCTCACCCCTGGGATTTTGGTATGCTAACATAGGTAGACATTTCCATTTTAGCATTTTTCCCTCTTTTGCATGTGCAATAAAACAAAAACCCTCGTTTTCTTGTCAAACCATAAAACATCTTAATCATACTTAAACTCTTTTTCAAGGTGACAAAACACAAACCAATCAAATGTGGCATCTTTCCTTGACGGCGTAACTCAAAACTGTTTTCACAAGGGTTCGTCACCCATAAAAAGCACAAAACAAACAAAACATGTGAGCCGAACTACGACGCTCTGATTCCTCGAAAAGAATACGTGGGTAATAGGTTGCGGGGCTAAACCTAGCAAAATTCGTAAATACTTCCTTTTTCCCCCTCATTTCTTTTGCATGTATTCGTCCTCAATAGTAAGCAATAGACATAGATTATACACACCCATAAGATAGACAACAAGAGTGGATATCATAGAGTACTACATGCGTGTGGGGTACTAAAAGTTTTCGGGAAAGAACTATGTATATATATATATATATATATATATATATATATATATATATATATATATATATATATATATATATATATATATATATATATATATATATATATATATATATATATATATATATATATATATATATATATATATATATATATATATATATATATATAAAGAAAAATTATACACCCGACAAGTCGAAAACCTGAAAAGGCGGCTTGGGCAAAAAAGGGTATCCCGGTGGACTGAAAACCTGAAAGGGCGGTCCAGGAAAAAGTTAGGGATTAAAGCATATGATTATGCCCCGCTGGATCATCTATTTACATCAAGCTTTGTTATCAACATCAAGATCAAACGATACAAATAAATCTAGTCATCTTCTTTCGACGACAAGTGATGAGATACTTGAAGACATAGAGGCAATAGCAGAGTTGAAACTCGATGGGATCATTTCCACATAGCTGTTTTTCTTGTTTATCACTTTGTATTTTTTTCAATTTCACAACTTCCTCTTACTAGGATTTTTGTCTCCTTGTATAAAATTTCATGTTCATAGGAAAACTTTCAAAATCAATACAACTCAGTCTATTTCAAAATTCAAAACTATTTGTTTTTACTTCCTCTATTTTGTTTGAAAATACGTCCAATGGTTACTTTGAATGAAAATATGCATTTGAATATGATCATGATTTACAAATATTTGCATAAAAATAGGATTAGCATTTATCGAAGACTCTAGGAGTTGGGATAAAATTTAAGTCATTCATAAATCCCCACAGAACAATCTCCATGAAACTATCTCTACAGAGATATCTTCGCAAGCTCATCCCCAACAGATATATATTACCCAACAAGTCTAATATGTCCTCAAGCAGAAATTGGGGCATCTTCCAGTAGTTTACCTTTATATCCCTAATGGATAGCTTGACCTGATCATCATCCCCAATAGGTCCCCTAGCGGATAAGGAAGTTTGATCATTTCCCCAGCTTACAGTGGATACTTCTTCAACACAACCCATAAAATTCCAATCCCCATCAGAGTTTATTTCCTGAACACAGTTTACAGAAATTTAATCCCCCAACAGAGTTTATTACTCCAACACCGTAAATCCCTAACAAATTTTTCTTCTTCAACAAGGTTTAATCAAAGTTGTTATCCCTATAAGAATTGCTACGATATCTGAAACCTAGACAGATAGTACACTGAAGGAATATCCACATCTTTTATCCCTAGTCAGGGTACGTAAGAATCAAATCCTTCAACAAAAAGAATGACGAACAACCGACTCTCCATGAATACCTATATCTTCAAGCAGAAATTGAAGAATCACTTTCTTCATCCCTTGCAACAGTCTGGGATTTATTTTCCCCAGCTAGACATTGTTACAAGGAGCTACTGATATGCTTCAATGACATATTGCATCCATACATGATTTCACAATACATCATAGCATATGCATACCGAAATGCATATAACATTCTCATTTATTTTGAGAGCATCATTACACAATGCATTACATACATCATGACATTACATAAAGCTAATTTTTTCTTTTCAGGTAAAGTTCGCAAATAGACGAATATCATCAGAAATTTTCAAACAGGCCAAAGATTAATTCCCGAAACAAGACGGAGCAACTATCTATATGACCAGGAGATATGAATTACCAAAAAAGGACGAGTTTACCAACAAAAAATAGTTCGCAGATTAATTCCCGAAACAAGACGAGGAAACTATCTATATGACCAGGAAGTATGAATTCCCGAAACTGGACGGGTTTACCAACAAAATCAGGTCGCAGATTAATTCCCAAAACAGGACGAGGATATTATCGATATGACAAGGTAGTATGAGTTCCCGAAACAAGACAAATTTACCAACAAAAAACATGTCGCATATTAACTCCCGAAACAGGACGAGGCAACTATCTATATGACCAGACGGTATGAATTCCTAAAACAGGATGGGTTTACCAACAAAATACAGGTTGCAGATTAATTCCCAAAATAGGACAAGGCAACTATCTATATGACCAGGCGGTATGAATTCCCAAAACAAGACGTGCTTACCAATGAAAAACAAATTGTAGATCAATTATCGAAATAGGACAGGGCGACTAGTTGCATGACTAAATGATTTCCTTTAGAGACTGAATTCTGACGAGCATCTCTTTCATAGATTCAATCTGAAAATCATTTCCCTCAGATAAAACTGAGACATAGATTTCATTCTGATACTTCATAGCGCATCTGCTAGTTACTTTGGATGGCGTCTATAAGCTCATCTCCTACGACATTCTCTCAACTTTACAAATGGAATCTTTAAAGCACATTTAAGCAATACTATCAACCAACGGCGTTACTTCGTGCACTGGCGAGTGCAAATTTTTGGGCACTTAAGTGTTCAATCCTCTTCCACCTTCAGATCACAATTGGAGGACATGCCAATT